CACACTTACTAAATTTTATGAAATTATCCTCATTAAAAAGCGTTTAGCGTCACTTGTTATTAGCTTAAGCAATTAGCATAAATAATAATGCTTGTTACAGCTGTACCGATTGCATGGGGATGATGACAAAACGCATCTAAATTCCATGTTTTAGAGAGGAAAACTACCATCATATATTTTCAAGAATCTGGTTGGTTCTGTAAAGTAAAGGTCTGTTCCGAAAATAGGGTTGCGATCCTAAAGCTGATGTTGGTTACTTTCCTGATTTTTTTAATTGCAAACTGGTCAATAATTTCTTTGTAATTCATATGTTCTAATTCCTCGTTTTCTATGTGCAGAAGAGAAAGAGCAGATAAGCGATTCTGGGATATCGTATTCTGTAGATAGTTCTTCACTCTTTTTAACACAGAAAATAACCTTTCACCCGTAGTATTATTAAAAACATTCTCAACACGTTTGAAAATATCAAATGCAATCTATTCGATAGTAAATTATACATGTCACTCGGGCAACAAACATTTTCTTCCCAGCAAGCCCCTCTGTGGCACAGCGGTATGTCTGCGGAATTACAATGCTAGAAACCGGGTTTCGATACCCGTGCTAGGCAGTGCACAAAAAGTCTATTGTGTAACTTTGTGCTTAACCACAAATAAACTCTTCTTCGCAAAATTTTAAAAATGTGCTGTTTCTTCTTTAAATGACTCAGTGACCCTCATATTCAAATTAGATAATGTTTTTCAAACATTCGTGTTTTTCTTTGTTATCTATTGTAAAATCAAAGAATATTTTAAAATGTTTAATAACATCAATGCATCTTTCAATTCTTTTGTCAATTTCAGTAACTAGTCGATCACATAACACAGAGAAAACACTACTTATTAACAATACCTCACTATTTGTTATTTTTATGAAAAGATAATTTCCGTTTTTTCTTTTTTATTTGTCTGCTTCTTTTTTCGTAAAATATTTTGTCATTAGTTGATTAGAAATATTTCTTATTTCAAAGATGGATTCTTTCAATCATTTTACTAATGTTTCTCCCTTTCAAACAGGCCTTGCATGGCCAGATGGTTAGGGCGCTCGACTCGCATTCTGCGAGTCGCGTAGTCGAATCTCCGTCACACCAAACATGGTCGCTCTTTCAGTCGTGGGGGCGTTATAATGATACAGTCAATCCTACTATTTGTTGGTAAAAGAGTAGCCAACAAATTTTACTCTAAATTAGGGACGGCTATCGCAGATAGCTCTCGTGTAGCCTTGCGCGAAATTCAAAACAAACAAACCCTTCAAAATATTTAGCTTTGGGTCTTGTTATGATAGATTTACCGCATTTACTCGTTGTAATGAACTCATCAGTTTTATTTAACCATCATCAAACTTTTTGTTTAAAGATGTAGATTTTACTCTAGTGTTAATTTTGGTGCAGGAGTTTCAGTAATTTTCAAAAGAGCGTCCTTGATATTGCAAAAATTGTTTTTAAGAGCATAAACAGCGTCTACTTCTGCAGACCATCTCGTCT